ATAAAATTAAAATAAAATTAAAATAAAATTAAAATAAAATTAAAATAAAATTAAAATAAAATTAAAATAAAATTAAAATAAAATTAAAATAAAATTAAAATAAAATTAAAATAAAATTAAAATTAAAATAAAATTAAAATAAAATTATAATAACATTAAAATAGAATTTAAAAAAATACAATTGAAATAAAATTAAATAAAATTAAATAAAATTAAATAAAATTAAAATAAAATTAAAATAAAATTAAATTAAATTGAAAAAGTAATAATAATATAATTTGAAGCACCCCTGAGATCAAAAAATAATAATAAAAAAAAATACTTTAATTAAATTAAAAAATAAATTGGTATATGTGTGATATCATTACAATATATATATATATATATATATATATATATATATATATATATATATATATATATATATATTTGTTATAAAGCATAGGAGAATATGGATATGTAGAAAGTGATTGGAACTAATCCAGGGATGTTTTAAGTCACATTATTTCTATTAAGAATTTTTAAGATGATATGTAGGAAGTTCAAAATTATAATTTGATATATTATTTGAACAATATAAATGATGAAATATATTTTAAATTATATTTGCCTTGAAAAGCTAACAAAATGTACCTACCTATTTTATTGGTGTCGTTACTAGGGATCGACCGACATTAATATCAATATATCGGCCTTCTTGGCCGATATCGGTAGCGACCCATGTGGAGAATGCAGTATCAGCCTATATCAGTATCGGCCTACTTAATAAAAAATATCAATTAAATATTTCAATTGCTAAGATTTTTTTTTAAAGAAATTAAAACAAAGATTAAATAAAAACAATTTAAATTTTTATTTTGAATTACTAATTAAATTAGCTTTCAAATGAAGTATCACACTTTACAATATGTAATAGTTTTTTATTCCGCTAGAGAGCGTTTAAACTAAAATTAACGCAATGAACAGTCATATTGCAAAAAAGAATTATTAGATGCAGGATAGGAGCCTATCCTTCGAAACATTGTCAGCAACATTAAATTTTATCAAGTTATCAATATTAACTCTTCCATGCTTGTTTATTTATCTATCGGTGTTACATATTAAAAAAAATCTTTCACATCAAACAACTAATAATATGATACACCCCTATCCTACTCGAAGAGGTGGCGAACTTCGTACACCCTTCTCAAGATTAACAGTGGGTCAAAACTCTCCGTATTATCAAGGAGCCATCTTGTTTAACCATTGTGTTAGAATTTTAGACAATATAGAAAACTTTAATAAATTCAAATTTATGCTGTTTCAGTTTCTTGAAGGCAATGCCTTTAACTCTGTTGATGAACTTTTAGCATATTAATTTTATAACTTAAAATATATTTTACCTAATGTTATTTTTAACTGTCTTTTGTGTTAGTTTTCTGTATATTATATATTATCTATATTATCTTAGCTCCAGAATTTTAAACTTCTATGAATTGGACAGTGTGAATGGTGTTTTTGTTTTTCTGTTTTTTCTATGGACGTACTGTGTATGAGCTGACTAGTATGATAAGTTTTTTTTTAAACATTATAAAAATGTAAAATACTTTATTGACGAATAAATTCTGTTCTATTCTATTGCTGAATTCCCCATAAAATTTTGATGATGTGTCATACTTGGTACTTTCCCTATTTAAATTGTACTGGTGAGAGTGACGGAGAATGACATATGACAGTTGAGGATATTATAGAAAGATGCCACCTTTGAAATAAAAATCAACCTGTTTTTGTGATCTTCAAGATATTCGGAGATACGACCGGTCTCCACCCATAATGAAACTCCCCATACCATCTGAAGAGAATAGTTGTTCACTAGCCACCACTCCCGAAATACTGGCACATTTTCACTCGAAATCACTACAAATTTTCTCGAAAATTCCAAATTAATCATCGAAATCAACTCGTGGCTCAAAAAGTTTAATTTAAAAATAAGCAAATTGAACTTACAGTAAAATTGTAACAATTCAATCTGGATTTGTAGAAGAAGACAGATGTTTGACCTATGGGTACAGGCAACACTGCCTGTAAATCTTATACAGCCAGAGCAATTGCTCCATCTTTTGCCATGTTTTTGTCTTTTTCTTCACGGCTTAACATTTTTTCTTTCAATTGTTCTTGATAATTATTTTCCAAATTCTTCTTTTCGTTTTCTTCTGAATTTTTTTATGACTCACAGAGATCACATTGATCTTGCTTGGGATTAAAAAACCCAATATTAAACTCCGTGTTAAAAATGTTTGTATACAAGTCGTAACTTGCTATTATAAAATATAAAATTATATATTTAACAAAACGAGTGAGAAAACTAATTTACAAATTTTATCAGTTAAGAGATATCTTGAGTAAAAATAGTTTGATTTTAGTATACAAATCACTTTTAAGATATGGAATACTAGTATCTCATAATATTATGACAGTACAAAAAATAAATTGCTGAAAGTACCTAACTCTAATAAAAATGTTCATACAAGATTTACTTACCATCTACCTTAAAAGACTTACAATTTATTACCTATAAGTATTAGGAAGATTCAAAACCACAAAAAATTCCATATTTAATATAGTATAGGAAAAAAGATATCAAAGTTGTTGAATTTATAAAAAAAAAACTGTTAAATACGTTCTGCCCTAAACAAGTGTTAAATCACTTAGGTGCAATTTTATAGAAAATAAAATAGTATAGGTATATCACCAGCGACGTGAATTTTCATTAAAAAAAAACAAATTCACTTAAAATAATATTGTAACAATCAGTTTCAGCCAATATTATCAATGAATAATAAGTGGTCATTTAAAATTAACATTATAAGTATATAATGAAAAACCGTGGCCACTTAAAGATAGTTCATTTATTCAGCATATACATAGGATACTGTAATATTCTTTGTTAATTGTGAACCGCCAAAGCAATTAGAGAATTATATTTAATTTAGATTAGCTCTTAAATATATTTATATCAAACTTATTACTTACCTTAAGAGGTCGTAATCCAATTAGAAACAAAATAAGCATATGAGACTGTAGTTTTCTCAGTCGTGAATCCAGGCTTTTCTAATGGACACTTTTGGGGAATATTTTTAGGGTACCTATCCGGGCGCCAATAACTCTTTTTTTATTTTTAAAAAGTTAGTTGAGAATTATAAATGTTATTACCAAAATGACAAAATTAACTGATTAACTAAAAGTATTTTAACAAAAAGAGAATTGTCGCACCAAGAAAGATATTAATTAAAAATAAGATTCAAAAAGAATATAAATAAATTTTGGTTTATTATTTAGCTGGTGGAAATGTTTCAAATTTATACACTTTTACAATTACAGCAATAAAAATATACGAGTCATATTAAAAATCCAAATCAAGAAACAAGCGAACTTATATACATTTACAAACACTAAAATAAATTTTATCCAAAAAATTTAATCATCGCAAAATATATTTTTACCAGTTGGCGTTTACGATTTCACTAGTAAGAAATTGGCAAAATACAATCTTGCTCTCCTCGTTTGGCATTACAAGATCTATACCAGGATACAGAAGTGGGAATCTGGACGTTGATCCTCTGCAAGTCCACTCAACTAGGTTAAACTGTTATAGTTGGAAGTTATAAACTGGAAATCGAAAATCAGAAATCGACCCTCAGACTGCCATATATTCGCTCTCTAAATACAATATAAATTGTTTTTAACGATGACCTTGCAAGAAATAGAAGTTAAATTGTCAAATAATTATTTTAAAATTTTCAACAATTAATAAATTTACTTTTTTATAGTACTAAAATTAATATTAACCATATAAAATATCAACAAGTATAAGATACAAAAAAATAATTAACAAACATATCGAATAATTCAAAATTGATTTTCAAAAATTATACTTATAATTAAACAATAGATAGAAATGTAAAGATTATTTAGATATTTCCAAACTTAACGCTTTATCACAGTCGAGGAACTTCACCGAAATGTTATTTTAATGACATATTAATATCTGACAAAAAAACTGTAGCCAATTATTTTGCTGACTATTTTTCAATCATAGCTACACTAGTGATGGGAGTACTCGAGTACAGGAATCGGATAATACCCGATTCCTAAAGGAATCGGTAGTATTCGAATACTGGCGACCAGAGTCGATTCTGATTTTTAAATATTAAATCGCGAACCGTCTTGTAGCGCTGCTCACTGCTGATGTGCTGACTGAAACGGAATTAAAATATGGAGTCGGTTCGAGATATAATATACTGACTTTTCCAGCAATATATATTCTCAAATGTGCTATATATGTTAAAACAAACATCTTTAAATTTACCCGTAACTCAGACAACCATAATTATAGTACTCATAGTGGCAATTTACTACGCATACCCCCTCATGTTTCAACCATGTTTGAAAAATGTTCATACTACTGTGGAATAAGGTTATTCAATCATCTACCTACTACTCTAAAACAAATTACTAGATTAAAAAGCTTTTTATTTCAAAAATGCCACTATAGCATTCATTAATTTTTCCTGTAGTTTTTGTAGTACAAGGTACAGCCTATGTCATATGGGTGTTTTCAAGCATATGAGTCCTAATTTTAATTTAGTGTATTTATTGTTAAATTATATATTTAAATGTGTTAGTTAGATTTTTTATCTGTTTTGTAAATGCATACTATTGTACATCTTTACATGTAAAAAGGATTAATAAAATATTATTATTATTATTGACTCGACGATTGATTTAGGAAAGAAAGCAGAGAATGACATCAAACACGGTTTCGTCAAGTTCCCCCTGTCAGCAATGGTCACCGCGCCGACAATTATATTTTAATAGAAATTAAACTATATAGTCTCATTTAAAATAACATTTTTAAAAGATGATTTTTAAAATGTCACAGTATACATGTAGTGGCCATTGTGACAGCATTTATTACCAAAATCAAATTTCATAGAATTTTAAAAGATACTTTCTTTCAGGTTCCAATCCAAATTACTCTGCCCCCACAACCTGGCTCAGATGGTAGCCAAAGGATTCTCACAATTCAAGTGCCAGGTTCAGCCTTACAAGGAAATCAACTACAAAAGGTTCTTACGGGACCAGTGATTACTGCTACAATGGGCTTACCAGCTAACATTGCGTCGTCGTTATTGCAGCAACACGTTAATGCTGCTTTTAACAGTCAACAGCAAGCTGCCACTGTGGCTATTGTAAATAAACACGTAATTCAGACTGATGGCGCGGCCGACCAAGAGGGAGAATCTTCGCAACAAAATGAGCTCATTAATGAAAGAATTAGGACTGATAAAGAATTAGAAGAAATTATTCAAGAGGGGATTAGTATAGAAATTATTATGCCTAGGAATAGGAAGAAAGCTAAAAGTGAGTTATTTTATTTCATTATTTTATTTAATTCATGATTAGCTTTTGATGTGTAGCATAACTATAAATGTAATTTAATATAAACTGGTTCCTGTTGATAAATATTGAAAACAATATCATTTCCATATTAATGTTTATAAATAATGTTTCTTGCTGTTTATCTTTTTGCTATATTGCTTTTTTTTTAATTACATATACATTGTCTTTTAAAATAGTGCATGCAAACTTCTCCCATGTAATGTTGTTTTTCTATAATCTATTCCAGATAAGATAAAAAAAATTCTTGAATGTGTTATCTATTACTAATTATTAATAAAAAAAAAAACAAACTCAAAATATTTAGTTCAATGTCTGTTTACCATGGTTTCATTTATTGTAATTTTAAAATGAAAATATTTTAAAGTATTTTTCTTTCATACTAATGTTCAAAGAATATATAGTATCTGACATAAATATGGGCATAATTTCAAAAAAAAATTGTTAAAAAGAAATGACAAAATAGACTTATGTGACTTAACCTTAAATGGTTTTTAAATTAGATACTTTTCGCAGGATTACTATATTAATGGCTTTAATGGGTTATAATCGTTCCAATGAGTCAGATAAAGAAAATAAGCCAGAATTCCTGGAAATATTCCTTTATGGTTACTTTATTCTCAGTTATACATGTAAAATGTTTACAGTCCTCAGTATTGACACATTTAAACCCTTAAATAGTTACACTCATTTAGAATAATAGTAAAATACATCACATTTTACATACGTACTACCGTTGTATGAAGAAATATAGTAGGGTAACCTTATGGACTTATCATTGGAGGACGATGGACATATAATGTAGATGGCGATACTGTACTTATGTCCAAGTCAGGTCTTTAGGTCATGTCCATGGAGGAAGGATAATTAAGAGTTGCCGTTTCTTTGAAGAAATATGGCAACAGGTTTGCTTGCAGCGCCACCGGTAAGGGATTTGTCCAACTATTTCTCAGTCGGTAATATAGATACCTGCACATTTTATTTTATTTAAAAATTAGCGGGATTTTGTTTGTAGCTCTACTTTAATTAGTATAACTAAAATTTTGCATTTTTATTGGCATTTTTTACAACACAGACAAGGTGCAAGATGTAACAAAATGCCAATCAAAATGTAAAATTTTATGACCCATAATTTTAGGAAGGGTAAAATAATGTAATATAAAATAATAGTATTATCTATTATATCATTAAAACTAATTTATAATAAATTTTCTAAATAAACAATATTTTAATAAAACAACTAAAACTTTCTGTAAACTTGGGTAGGTAACAAAACACATTAAGGAGAACCATCCATATAATCTGAAACAGAAAAAATTCAAAGTAGTATTTTAACTTCATATCATTTTGAATCTCTTTTTTCTTTTAGACATTGTCACAGTTTTATACTTTCATTATATTTTATAATTAATAATGGTAGTCCCTTCATCTTTTAATTAGATGTAGTACTTTTAAATAAACAGATGTCTGCGGGATCAAGCTTTGAGGTCCTTCTTTGATTCGCAAATTTTACTTTGCTGTTTTCTAATTATAAAATAGAGTTTTTTCTCCCTTGGAGCTAACCATTCACGGGATTGATTTAAAAATCCAAGAGCTAATTATTGTTTTTTAGGTAATAATTATATTTCATTGGATGAAATTTTAATCGAATGTAACTTTCTTTTCACTGGTAATTTGTTTGACGGTATGATAACAATATTACTTTAGTATTACTCTTTACTGTTAATTTAGCTTTCAAGGGTACCAAAGGTAAAGCCAATTTACAGTCTTGTAACCTATAAATGGTTTTTCGCAAGTGGAATGATGAAGTTTATGCGGCATCATTTAGTTCCTTGCTTAATATCGGAAGGAAATAAAAAAAATGTGTTCTTAAAATATACAGCATAAATTGGACAGTAAATTGTACTATTTGCCTTTATAAAAACAACGCTATTAGATACAATTAGATATTATGAATTTATTACGAACAAGACCTGCTAAACACATGTTAAAACATCAAAATATATTTGCTTAATTTTAAATTTAACATGTTTAACTAAAACTAAAATTAAATAAAAGTAAAAGTGCTTACCACGTTTTATTCAGCAACCATAACCATATTGTTTTGTTCAGTTTTGTTATTGTATCGGTTCGAACGGGTGACAATCCCAAAGTCAGATTTACATTGTACAAATAATTGATTAATTCATGTTTTTCAAATAATTGTAGTATTTATATAAATATATAATTTTAAAACAATACTTACCGTGTATTACTTTTGTTATTAAGCGAAATATATTTGAATTATTCAATTATTCAGTGTACTTTAAATTTAAATATCATTTTATTATTGTAAAACGGACTGATATGCGCGGATGTGTTGCGCACTAACCTGTTGATATAACGCGCATATGTTATAAGCCCCCCTGGTCATGTCTGTGCTTGAGTATGAATTATAATTTAAAATCTTCTTTTTCATTTCTACTTGTCTTCGGTAATGTATTTTTATAGTTACAATTTACTATTTCAAATTATTACAAAAGCACAGAATACTGGGTATTTGAAGGTCACATAAAATGCAAAAATAATCGATATAATAAAATAAACCAGTTTTTGTTGAAAAAGATTGAATTAGTTGAGATTGGGTGGAATTTTACTAAAATAGGGAACATTTTTTTCTATATTGTGGTTGGATTTTGGATATATCGCTGATGGTTAATTAAACTTGAGTTGTACGCTGTTAATTTATATTCACTTTTATTTAATGGTATCATCAAATTAAGAATAGGACATGAACAACTGAATATTATTGTTCAAAATGAGACGAATAGACGAAAATAAAAAATGTTTGGATAAAATGTTCTGAAATACAGGATGTTAAGTTGAAAATTAAAAAAGTAATAATGGGTAAATATATAGGTAGTTATAATTTTATTATTCAATATAATTTTACTAAAATCGGCACTGACAAAATTTAACTAACATATTTTTTTGCTGTTAGGTAAACTCATAACATAATACCAAACACGTTTAGTGAAATTATACTAAGTAATAAAAACATGTAAGCCACTAATTTTCAGTTTTCAACTTTTGACACCATTTGAAAACGAATCGAGTACCAATTTATGGTAGGCACATTTAGGAGTATTATTTTCGAAAGGCAAAATTAAAAATTTTTCATTGTTTTTTTTTTGTACATGGAAATACTTTGCTGCATGTCTGCTGCATGTCCTACAATGATGAAGCTCTCTGGTGTGTCCATCTTCTACAAGAGAAAAAAGAAGGAAACATTTGTAAAGTTGCCTTGTACAAATGTGTACCAAAAGAGGGCAACTGGCTCTCGTAAGCCTTTTTCGTTTAATCGTCTCATTATTTGAACACTAAGCGCCAGCATGGGAAATATATGTTAAAGTTAGTTTTAAGAACTTTTAACATTCAAATAAACAAAAACAATTTATAAATCTATTATTAAAATCCGTGTTGGAACAAAACATAAAATTGTTGAATTTAATATTCTAAAAATGGAAAGGATTTCGGTCGAGAGCCTATTGGACTGAATATTCAGTTTAAAATCGCTTCTCCGGCCTATAAATCTTCAATTATTTCAAAAAGAATAAAATAAAGTAGTTCTGTCTTAAACTAAAATAAATTTGCTATCTCGAAGTCCCCATCGATTATTTCCAAACTTTTCTTTAACGTCTTAGTTGTAAGTTTTATATTACATTTTTTTTAATTTGCTATTTCTGTGGAATCAATAATTTTCACTTGCATTATTGTTCTTCTAAAAAAGCGAAATGCGACTCACGTTTTGCTTGATTGGCTTTAATTTTTGAGATAGTCAACCAGTCAAAATAAAAAAAATTCAAAAAATAATAAGACATTAATTTATGTATTTAATCAGTTTTGTCTGAGCTAACTAAAAGGCTGTATTCTATAAACAATGAAAAATAGTGATTGTTTTAAACTACTTAAAACATTTTCACTTGAACGGCGTGCGTGATTCAATTTAAAAATAACTTTCCAGAATAAAACCACATGTTACAGTTTTGACTTCATTTATTACTAAACAGCCAAGTCATATGCAAAAACGTTAATCAAAAATCTAAATTAAAATAATAACAAATTGCCTATCTACTAGGGTCGGTAACCAAACATATAAACAGAATGGGCGGATTTTGTTCATACTTAACATTACACTCGCGCACTGACACTTAACCTGGATTAAATATAACTGTAAATACAAATATTTACAAATATACTTTTCCAAACAGTGATAAATTATATAAAAAAAATGTTTTTTTATAAGATTTTCTTTTATGTTCAAAGTTAGGACTTTATTGTGTCCTTCGTAGAATTCTGTACTAAATAAGAGCACTGATTTTGGAAATAAATTTTAACCATTTTGGCAAGTTGCTGAACCTTGTAACATTGCATAATGAAATATAAAGACTAAGTGAATATGTCTGCCACAGATAGACCACTTGTAGGTCTATCGATTTCATCTTGAGCTATTCCTATAGAGTGGAGCTATTGAAAACTTCCTTTCAAGGTGATTTATTTTAACACTCAGAGCCAGCCGAGAGAACATTTTTTCTTATATTCATGATCAACAGCCAAGATACATTTGGAAGTCGCTAATATATCCCTGTGACTATTTTTTCATAATTTGTTTTCCAGTGTTGATTGTTGATTGATTTTTCCCTGATTAGTGATTTTCTTGTTCCTTAACTCAATATCTTGCAAACTGTTGATAGCTTTGATGAAATTTTGTAGAGCAAAGCTTGTTCAAATTTTGAAAACTATAAAAATATTCAGCTATTTTTATGGTTATAAACTTTTCCAACACTTAGTCCAATTAGAGGTATTTAGATTACATGCAACATTTTCAGAAGCTTATTCCTTTTTTGTATTCTACTTGGAACTTTTCAATTTATTTAAAACATTGGACATTGTTATAAGTTGTTATTAGGTATTCTTTGTTATTGTTTATATATTTTGACATAACCGCACATAACCAAAATATTGACCAAAACCAAAGTCCTTAACCACTTTTTATCACCTTAATCCAAAAATTGTATTCGTACGGTTTTATCAACTGGAATAAATTTTCATTATGTTTAATTTTTCATGTCTTTTATCATGAATTCTTATTTTTAAATAAAGATGTTTTTAACTATAATAGGTAGGTGATAGAGGCCATGTGCCTGATCGAAAAGAAGAATTAGATGGCGTATCTGCATAGCATTAAAAATTGACTACTTCATTAAATCGTCACTAGATGCCGCTCGAGATTGCATCCAACACTTTTTACTGTTGCATTATCCTACTATATTATCTTCATACAACGGTACTACATATAAATACCGCACAGATTCCGTCAGTTACTGAATGACATTTTTTTCTCGGAATGGGTTACAAATTAAAAAAAAAAAATGGTGAATTATAACTTTTATTTTGTAACAAAACACATTGTCTTCTTAATCAAATAATTTTTCTAACGAAAATAAAAAATAATCTTAATGAAAAAACAAAATTTTGATACTGCAATTAAACACATCAATGAGTGTCCCAGGAACCCATAAGATTGGAAGACATTCAAACCCACAACTCTACAATTGAATGTCACAGTCAACGTGATTTAAATAAAATAGCATAACTTGAGCAATAAGAACAAATATAAAATCACGAACGGTCAATAGACCCAATAAGAAATACGCGAAAGTATACAAGTGATAAAAAGTTTCCGTGTTCCTTGGCAAACGAGAGCATATATTATTTCTGCAATAAAATTGGTAAATTTGATAAAAATCCACACTCGTTCAGTAACAATAAAAGCATTGACAATATTGTCAATAAACGTTTATTTTAAAATCGATTTCAAAACTTATTATGGCTTTTATCAGGTTTATTTAATAAAAATTACGTGTTCCAGGAAACTTTAAATATTAACTACTTTTAATATGTACATGTATTTTTAAAACATTTTGTATAAACTTTTTAGGCATACAAAAACAAGCAAAGTGCGGAGCTCTTTGCCAAATTGACGGACCACACGATACCTCAGATGATGATGAAGATGGCTCAGATGATGATAACGACGACGATGATTTAGATGATGATAAGGACGAGGATGACCAAGAAATGGAGGACGAAGGTAAGAAATTAAATATAATTAAGCTTTGAGAAAGTTATTTCTTGAGAAAAGTATTGTTCACACGCTACAGTTAGTTCCTTGTGTAAGATGTTACAGAAAAACACTTATTGTAAATTATCGTTGTTGCACCAAGTTATTTAAACACATTTGAAGACAAGCGCAGTCTTCCATATTATTCATCTGCATACATCAAATACCTTGCGTTACATCACAACGATATAGTCTATGAAAATTATAAATAGCAAAGTACCTTAAACCGTATCTTGTATCACTCGTGAGGTCCATGTTTTCTATGATTTTAATGTTAGATGTTAATAGTGAGACAAGGTGGTCTGTTATGAGTTGACATTTCATTTTAGTAAAGAAATTTTTCTAAAATTGCTATAGACCAGTGGTTCCCAAAGAGTAAACAGGGGAGTCATGAGGAAACTAGACATTAAACTTATGTATCGCTTCGCGGTTACAAAATAAACAATTCATATGAGTTGATGAGGGCTTTTTTTAGAAGCTCGCTAGAAAACCTACTCTTTTCTTTTATAAAAAATTCTGTTTCGTAAATCTGGCAACCCTAGTGGGCCTAGCAAAATACTAAACCTTTAAGGAAGCCGCGAACTGAAAAAGTTTTGGGAACCCCTGCTATAGACAGTTGCATTTTCTCACATAATACTTATCTTGAAAGTTATTAATTTTCCATACGGTGAGAAATAGCTGTTATAAATAATTTCTAATGGTTCGTCTCCTAAATACCTACCTAGATAAAAATATGATTATTTATAATAATAAGACTTTATGTTGTTAATAAATGTCAAATTTAAGAATTTTGTATGTGTTCACATTTTAAATAGAAATATTTATATTAAAAGTTTGTATGGGAATTGGAGTATGGAGTGTGTATGATAGTATCGATTTTTTAAAGGTAGGAACTTCAAAATTGAAATTGTAGCTACTCGTCATAAATAAATAATGACGAATCACAGAAGAATTCGTCTAAATTGTAATATGCTTTATCACACAGGAATGACTTCAATTTGAATGGTTTGATTTCTAAAGTCTTTAGTGCGGAAGGCATCTTATTCCAAATCTTTTGAATTTTTTGAAAATTGATTTCAAAACATTATAAAAACAATTCCAGTCAATCCCTCCTGTTGTTTTCGATAATGCATCCTATCACAGTTGCTTAAAGGAGTCACTACCTACAAAAAGATGGAATAATGAAGATATTTCAAAATGACTAAATTCTAAAAATAATATCATTCTTCCTAAATCCTTGAAGGCAGAATTAAACGTAATAGCAAAGCAACATAAAAAGAAATTCAAAAAATATATTCTAGACGAGATGGTCCGAGAAAAAGCAATTGAAATTCGCAGATTGCTTCCTTACCATGCAGAGTTCAATCCCATTGAACTGATCTGCACAGGGGATCTTATGTGCGAACTCGACACGTTATGTGTTGAATAGAGAGATATATATAAGAATCGCAGTCTATCGAACGAAGATAGGTGTCTCGACATATGCTGTATTGAAAGATGAGAATCCCACTGCTGGTCACAAGTAAAAGGTTATGTTTCTCGAATCAATACATTTAAATTACCTGAAATTTGTTTTGAAGACAGTTTCAGTTGTAAATGGAGAACACTGGAGAAAATGCATTGATCATGTTAAAAAGGTGGAAAATTCGTTTTGTAAAGTGGATATAATAATGGAAAATTTAATAAACCCTGATAAATCAGTAATAAAAAACCTTTCCGTATGCCACCAACTGTCTCCGTAAGTTGGCGGCATATGAAACACTTTTTATTATTAATATTAATATTATTCATAAAAAGTCGAGCATGGTCTAAAACCTAAAATCCAACCGTCATATATCAAATTTTATCTGTCGAATAAGAGGTTATCAAAAATAAAGGTACTTTATTCTTCAGCAAAATTCATATTATTTGATATACATCGTATAATATTGTAAAAATTTGATATCTGATAGTTGCACTTTATATTTCATACTATGCAGAACTTGATATAAAGAATACATTTTTTTTCATAAAGTTAATAAAAGTTTCCCGTATGCTGCGAACTTAAATGGACACACTATATCGAATAAAAAAATCCTTCTTATGGTATAAAATTATAGATACTACAAAATAAATCATTTTATTTTTCGACTGCAGGTTTTGCTTTTGCCCTGTTTGATACCATTAGTTAATTTACTCTTTATAAATTCTGAATAGGTATTAAAATGACAATGACGATAATTTATGAATGGCAAATGTTCATGTGAGAACAACCCTTTTCCAACGAGTGCAGATAAATAGTGACATGAGCCATCCGGCAAGTGTCACAACTCACAAGTGTCATTTTTTCTCACTTGTTGCACATATTGTTTGATTAAGAAAATTTATTATCACTTTAATTATGGAGTTCCTTAGAATGTTTTTTGTTTTAAGGGGGAGAAGAGGAACCGTTGAATTCTGAAGATGACGTCACTGATGACGACCCATCAGATTTGTTCGATACGGACAACATAGTCGTTTGCCAATATGATAAAATCATCAGGAACAGGAACAGATGGAAATTTTATCTCAAAGACGGTATCATGAATCTCAGTGGATCCGATTATGTTTTCCAAAAAGCGACTGGTGATGCTGAATGGTAGATTTTTTAGTCATCTAGATTATTATTTAATTTTGTTTTGAGTTTATTGAATTTATTACAGCGGACAGATAGTAATGCCTGTTTCAATAAGAGGATATAACGTTTAAATATATTAAAAGTATATTTGTTCCAAAATATATTGGTTATTAGTTACTAATATGATCATAGTAAATTATGTGTTTTCATTGTTTAGCCATTTTTAGGTTGTTCTGGGCATTTATACAGGGCGTTTGTTTTTTTACTTTGATTTAACGTTGCTGTTTTGAAAACTATAAAAGATGGTGTGGTTGGTTAACAGGCAAGAAACGTTCGAACGGGGTTCTTCTTCTTCTTTAGTTTTGTATGGGCTCAATCTTCGTAAGGGGTTAATAAAGCAATGAAAACTAGTTTTACCCTTTATGAATTATACAGTGAAAACCAAAAGTCGTATTTATAATAATTATAATTTTTTAATATTGTAAGTAGGAAATATTGTACAGTTTTCACGCTATGTAATTATTATTTGACATACATGCCTTTCAGAGGTCAGTAATCGTATATTATCCCTCTAAAAAATTGCATCATAGCTTCTAGTAGGTGGTCTAAATTCTATAACTTGGTTTATTAACTGTTTATTTTTGAAAATATGAGACTAGTTTGCATTTTAAAAGGTTTTATGTATTATGATCACAGAAAAAGTATAGTACATGACTCCCATTATATAGCAATTACGCTCTCGTTGAATTGCAAACTGCACTATGCGGCTTGTCAGTATTTTTAAAACGTATCTGTAGCAATTTTTTTTTAACATTTTTGATCTACACCTTGACTGACAGATGAAAAAAGCTTTTTGGCTAACCTTATATGAGAAATTTCATAGGTGTCAAATCCGGTGATTGTGATTATCGGAATATAGGACTGTTATTTGGGATCCCTTCATTAAGTGTTTTAAGTATTGTTAAACACATTATGAGAAAAATCTATGAAGGTAAAGAGATGTCATGTATTTTCCCCATTTTGTCAGCCCTTTAAACATACCTTTTGTTTATTTAATCGCCTCTTTATTTTTCAACGTTTCCAATGCAGTAATTTTAAATCAAATAAAAAACAGCCTGTATAGTTAAAAAAGAATGTTTTTTTTGTTTTTTACAGGGTGGCGAAAAAACGCTATTAGATTTTTTTTTATATTAGTTGTAAGGTAACATAACGATCTTTATTTTTTATGAGTTTGATTCACTGCTCATTAAAAAACATGATTGTATAACCGTTTGTAAAAAATCTCAGATTCGCATCTAGAAAAAAACCGTTTTGAATTACACTGTGATATTTCAAAATTTTTTATTCAAACCAAAAATTTGTGAGAACAGGTAAATATTTTCAGTGTGATTGCTCTTTTTAACAAAAAACATGTATAATTGATAATTAATATTTACCCTTTACAGACCTGAATTTATCCACTTATGAAACCTCAAATAACATTCTTTTTCTTTCTTTTTTTTTAACCTGAAGTAAGTTACAATTTCATGTTTATCTCGTAAAGTAGAACATCCTCAGTTTCTTTAAAATTAAAGTAGGTATTTTTTATTACTAAAATTCCATATGAATATGTGCTCTAAAATTGTTACATATTGTTACAGATACAGGGTGTTTAAAAATATATATTAAGTTGCCAAACGGAATTCCACTAAACAATAATCAGGTTTAAATTATCCTCTTAGTACTACAAACAAACCTGCAAAGTTTAAAATAGTTAAATGTGTTCGGGATATTTTTTAACATCTTGTATTAAAAAACAAAAATAGAGTATGTATGCAATGTAGGCCAAGGAATTACCTGCTATATATAATATTGACATGATATTTAGGTATACTGCTGAGCTAGAGATGAAATCTTGTATTTAAAAATTCTGTAAATAAATAAATATCACAAAAATTACAACGTTATAATGAACTATCAAAGGTGACGAGAGTGAAAATTATAATTTAATCAAAAAACATTTTTTTTTGTAGCTATTAAAATAATATATGTTAATAATTATTACGTGATTTTTTATAATATTAATCATTCATTACTTACAAGACTGATTCATTTAATCAATTATTGATCTAAAACAATTAAAAATAAAATTCTGTCAAAATGACTCATGTCAAAAAACTGTTCGATTATGGTTAATTAGGCGAAAAAAAAAAAAAAAAAACAATTTGAATGAAAAATATTAATTTATTTTGGAGTGTTATATATGTAGGTATTTCAAAAGTGGCTAATATTTATTGAGGTCTGTAAGGGTAATATAAGATTTTTATTTTAAGGTAGGTCGTAACCTAACGAAATATATTTTGTTCTATTTATTTTGTACATAAACCTAATTCGTTTTTAGTCAAACCTATATTTGTACTTCATTAAATAGTTAATAAATGAAGAAACAACAAAGTTCTTTTATTTCAAAACTTTCCATGATCCAACCATCATCAAAGTTTATATCCAGATACAACACTCTTGATCTTGCTGAATCACCGTCTATTGCTTCGGACATTTAAATTTGTTATAAAAGTAAAATTCACAGAAAATGTAGTTCAAATAACCGAAAAATATGAAATCGCCCGGTCAATGGCCATCTGGGCCATCAGGCCAAAGGTTAAAGTTGATACGTCAATTTCTTCTCTAGTAGTCCAGTATAAGTAGTATAAGCGCCCTTGCAAAAAATGCGGAAGGATTTTTTAGTAGTTTATATGGTGTTTTCGAGGGTGCTAAACAAGAATTTAAACTTTGGCACCTCTAATTTTTACGAGAAAAAAGTTATAAGTAAAAACATCTAGAAGGTTTTTTTTTAATAATAACTGCGTTTTTGAATACGCCATATTAGAGTGACATTTTGGTTCCAATGACGTTTAACTTCTGACCAAAATTTTAACGAAAACATTGAATTTGACATACGTTTTTACTGTTTTTAGTTTTTTTTTCTAAATATTGTTTGCAGGTCATAATAGTTTAAACGTAGGTATGTAATTGGTTACTAAACGGTTTATACTTGATATATTTTATCTACTTTAGGAATATATTTATAAAAGTTCAAAAACTATATAATTTAGGTAAACAACACCAATTTAGCTTATAACAACGTTTATGTACAAAAAAATAAATACAATTTTCTAAATTTTATGACAACAATATTTTTGATCAAACGAACGATTAATGCGTAAAGCGCCACCGCTTTGAAAGTAATCGAATTTTCTATTCTTGACAAGTGATATTCGAATTATTACAACTCGGTTCCACGTAGACGTAGAAGGCCCGTTTAATAACGCCCTTCCACAGTGTATGTTTGCTTATATAAAGAATCGACAAACTGACCTGTAACTGAATCAATTGTATGCTTGGAAATTGGAACTTCATTTTGTCACTGCAGGAAGAAAGAATTACCTTCGGGCCTGCCAAAGAATGTCCACAAGGAGGAGTACTTTTACCCCTACTATGGATCATTCTGGTGGATAACCTGCTACACGATCTCTCTCGACCGGAGATATATTTCCAAGTACTATGCTATCCTTCAATAAGCCCTAAATACGATCAACATGTGGTGCGAAAGGGAGCAGTTGTCTGGTTTAACTTCCAAAAAACTGTTATCGTCCCCTACACCAAGAGAAAGAAACTCGACAAACTTCTAAAACCTTCCTTGGCCGGGGAAACCATACCTTTTGTGGATGAGAAATATCTTAAGATTATTCTAGATAAGAAATTCATCTATAACCCCCAATTAGGACAAAGCAATCCATAAGTCAGATTATCCTTCTAGAGCCTCAGAAGGATAGGAGGCAAAGCATGGGAGATCAATCTCCAATTGATTTACTGGATTTATCAAAACCTACATGTTCGGTCGTCTGGTGGGACAAGGGACTTCAATGGGCGGCCAACGCAAAGCTGGCTGGCATTCAGCGACTTCCATGCGTCGCCATCACTGACTAATGCAATATCAACCACATCGACGGAAGCTATGGAGACCATGCTGGATTTAACCTCTCTACACATTTTGCTGGAAAGGGAGGCAAATTCCCCGCCAGCGCATAGAACAATCATACAGCGCCCTCATTCCAAAAAGAGATGTATGGAACCGGGGTAATAAAAACCTCTCTCAGGCGAACTATGCCTGTCCACGGGCGACCCCAAAACTGAAGGATGAGAACGAGCTTTAGTTTTCAGTCAGAAGCCAAGAATTGACATATCAATAAACTTCCGCACTTTGACTACGATCTTTCAATCCGAAATGATTGCTATAAAATTGGGAGCGAGAGGGTTGATTAATTTTTACCCCGCTAACGGGACTATAAATATATCTTTTCCGATAGCAAATTAAGTTGACTCAGAGAGCTGGTTTGGTATAAACACCCTTGAGTATCTCAGTGTCCAAAACAAAGTTACTTCGGTCTGAATTCCGGGAAAGAGCGTGTGGAGGACAATAAAAAATTCGACGCGCTCGCTAAAAGAGGAACTAAATCTGAGTTCATAGGATCAGAACCATTCCTGGGTATTGCAAAGAGCAATGCTAAAATATGAGTTACCTCAAAATTAAGAAACGGTGTAACACTTATGAACTGGGCTAACTTACTCGCCTTGTTTTTAGCCAATGTATCCGTGTCCGCCTCTGCCCAGATCCAGCATCATTGTACAGCACAGTATCGCTTGAGACAATCCAAATTATAACTGCGACTGAACCAGTACATCTCCTAGTAGAAGAAAGAAACCACTTAACGAATGTGCCAAATGAACTGAGGGAAGTAGCAAAAGAAGACGCGAGGAAAATATCGATCGCCAGGTGGCAGAGAGAATGGTCGGAAAATAATAGAACGTCCAGATAGACAAGAACTATAATAACGAACGTCACGACATGATACGAGTTCTTATATGGTTCTTAGCTCTAGTTGGACCCGGCAGGTGGCGCTGTTATCGAGATCTAGATATATTTTTTTAATTTGTCTACCAATATTTTTTTTATGTATATATATTTTTTTGATTTCTCACATAAAAAAACGTATTAACTTAATAATCCCAAATTTCCTGTCTTCCAGCACCTCTCAATATTTTTTATTTCAATTATATCATTATATTTAAGGGGTGCTTCTGTGATGAAAATTAAGGTGGGTATTTGGTATAAATTTAAAGAAGAATGCTCCCCGGAAAAGTTACCCCTCCGAAGATTTAAAAAAAAGGCTTTTCTTTTTTATTTTTCCTATATATTAAGCTAAAGACACGAAACTTGGTAAATATTACTTGTCAATAAAACTACACTTTTTGAAATTTTTTCAACCCTGAAGTATGCAAAAGAATAAAAAAAAATAGGTAGTCCTGTGGTTAGGGTTCTTGCCTTCCACGCGAAAGACGGGAGTTCGATTCTCGGATGGGGAAAAATTAAATGAACTTTTTTGTGTTTTTTTGTTTATTTTATTTTAAAAATTATTAAAAGTCATAAATTAGTCAACCCCTAAGATATTTTTTCTTACAACTTTTTTTAAATAAACATTTTTCTTTTACAAAGATATGGCTGAAAAACCCAATTCATTTTCAAAAAGATGAAGGGTGTAACTTTTCCGGGGAGGGTTTTTTCAAAAATATTTATACCAAATACCCACCTTAATTGTCATCACCCCTTAATTTTTTTTGCTGTTATTTAGATACATCGTGTATATTCGACCGACAACACTCTGCCCCAGAGAGCTCTCGTTATCTGATGAATTTTGATATAG